TAGCCTTCCTCGGTGAAGGGCTCGTCGTACTCCACGGTCTCGCCGTCGGCGTGGTCGTGCTCCTCGTCCTCCTCCTCCATGGCTTCGCCGATGTAGCTTTGGTAGCGCTTCCCATGATCTCTGCGTTTGACCTCTTGCTCCGAGAACTGGTTCCGGAGTTCTTGAACCACTCGGGCAGGATCGAAGTTCCCATTAAGCGCTGTGGTCACAAGGTTGCGCTCGTGGGAGTCCAAGGAAGCGTCGGCGAGGAGGTACCATCCTTGGATGAAGGTGGGAAGCAGGTCGGTTTCCCTGCGGTCCTCGTCTGAGGAAGCGGTGGTGCTACCTCCATGGCTGGACCAGTCCCATCGGCTCGGGTATTGGGACCAGCTGGTATTCCAGCCCCACTGGTTCCAGGAGCTCCATGTTGGAGCCCACCACTCGTGGTTGGAAGTCTGCCAGGGGGTAGTTGCCGTAGTTGAGGTGGCCGCGTCTGTCGCGGCCTGGTCTCCATCCTCACCGTCCTCGGTCACGGCCTCGGGACGGCGCAAAGCGTCGCCATCGCTCATCGGGGTCCACTGTCGGGACCAAGACCATGCTCCTCCATCACCACTTGTCCGGCGCCCCATGGACCTGTCTGGTCTTGCGGTGGGCTCATAGAAAGGTTGCACTCTCTTCAGTGCTTGGCAGGCTCTCATGTAGGCTTCCGTCTTTCTGGTGATGTACTCATTCATGGTCTCCTGAGCTTTTCGCTTGGTTCCTTTGAAGTAGGCGGCGAGGAGGTCGGTGACTTCGTTCACCCTTGGCTTGCCGAGGCCTTTCCGGAGATGATCCATGAGGACCTGGACTCCTCCCCGGTAGGCCACCCATCCTGGTGGCTGTCCAGCCACCAGTCGTCTAGCTGCTCCAGAAAGCTCCTGGACCAGCTTGGGACCGGCTGTGTACCGCTTTTCCCACGTCAAGGACTGCTCCCAAAGGAGAGCTGCTTCTTCGTACTGCACAAACAGGTTGGCCTCCCCGGACCACATCGGGACGCCATCCTTCGTTCTTCCAACAGTTGTCGCACTGGTGTCAGCTGCGATGCCACTCATCGTTCTCTGGACCCTTGCCCAGAGCCACAAAGTTTGCCCTTGGATCGAACCGGCTCAGGTAGCCGGCTCCGCTACCATGAAAGTGACGGCAGCTGGGGTAGCGACGTTGTTCAAGCTGATAGAAGAGAGGCAGGAAGAGGCACGGGATCGTAGATATGGCTCGGACGATAAGCGGAGCGACACAAAACCCCATACGCCCTCCGGGGCGCCTTTTGATCCTCTGATAGCTGGCGCGATGCACCTGTCAACGGAGGAGTGCCACAAGTGTTCGAACTTGCAAACCCTAAACCCTAAACCCCCTAACCCCTATAAACCCTAAAGGAAAGACGGATGCATTGGGCTGATATGGTTCAGGATGGCTATAGGGCT